TGGGGTGTGGGTGGGCTCTGGGTGTCGATGTGAGAGTGAGGATAATAACTCCAAGACCCACATCCACACCCTGACAGAATTATATGATTATTATTTTTTTACTTCGATACAACTCTTCAACTTAGCAGGCACAACATTTTGTTCAGAATTATATTTTACTCTCGACAGCATGAGAATGACTGTTGCATGCACTACCCAGGCAGGGATAAAAATGGTAAAATGGCACTGAAATGCCTATAAATAGTAATTATTATAATGATGTAAAACGGTCACAAAAAATGCCAAAAAATGCTTTGCATGTGAGGCATTATAATGTGCGTCATGTAACGCATTAAAATGGTCATTTTTTTTACTAGTGATGGATTTGTTTGTATTGTTAGTTAATAAGGTTAGATATATTCGGGCCAGATTACAGTTCTCATCGTTAAACTAAGAAATTTAACATATAAGCTTCTGTTGCCATGGCTAGACAGAGATATTCGAATTTTAGGATATTTACACCATATGTAAAGTACTGACAAATCAAAATTTTAGCAGAATTTTTTTCATTTTTCGTCATAGTTGGATAGAGCTCGTGAAGTTATATAAGAAAAGTATGTTTCAAATTCAAAAAAGAAATATTTTACGAAGAAGTCCAAGATAACGTTATTTTCAGATATATGGGTAAATGGACCCAGAATTTTGATTTTCATAAAAATTGTTTTGAATTTGAAACATGCTTTTTCTTGTATAACTCGATGAGCTCTATCCAACTATGACGAAAAAAGAAAAAAATTCTGCTAAAATTTTGATTTGAGTATATTTCATATGGTGTAAATATCCTAAAATTTGAATATATCGGTCTACGCATGGCAACAAAAGTCTATATTTTAAATTTCTTAGTTTAATGATGAGAGCTGTAATTTGGCTCGAATATATCTAACCTTATTAACTAACAATACGAACACCTTCATCACAAGCATTCTAAATGTTCAACTCATCTTTTGACTTGTTTTCTTCTTCGTACCACATTTATATTTTATTCAACGTACCCTCTCTATAGGAGTGTTTGTACACTTTTTCATTTATATCAATCGCTAATGTAAGTTACTCATTAAGAGATAGAGATTGCTTAAAATAGACTTGAAACATATCACACTATTTTATTCGAAACAGGGCATCGAACAGATTTCTATTTTTCATCGAACTGCTATAATCTATGACTGACGTCTCGGTATGTGTTAGATATTACTCGTCAACATAAAATTTAATTACGAGATCTAATTCTCAATGCTATTCCGAATAAATTGAAAAAACATGAAGTCGTGTTCATTTAACTCAAAGAGATATGAAAGAAGATATAGACCGCACTAGTAAATTACACAAATAATTTATTCGAAAGAAAATTTCTCAAACGTCTAAATTGCTCAAAAAACAGAGGGTCGACTTTTTTTATTCTATTTTTTCGTTTATAGTTTAACATGTTCTGAGTTGTATTAAATAAAGAGACGGGTAACATGTTACTACTAGATCATCTCCGTTTTAAATGAATCGAATTTGCTCTCTTGTTCCTTCTCGATCAGTGTTCTTTGTTTGAAGACAAACACTATCATCGACCAATTGGAATAAACTAATCAGATAATTTAGATATAGAGAAACCAGAAAATTAAAACAGAAAGAAAAGAAAAAAGCTTGTTAGTGCAGCCCCTTTGGGGCTGAAATGTGGAACTCACATATCTTCTTTAATTTATTATACTAATGACAAAATACAGTGTTTAAATTCTTTAAAAGACGATGGTTCTTTTTTAATGATAATCGATTGTCAGCAAATGCTGCCATTTTTATTTCTATACTTCGAATAAAATTT